CAATCTTAAAGTTCACTTGGAACAAGAAGAAACTTGGAACAACAAGAAATAGCAAAAGCAATTCTGAGTAACAAAGGCAAGGCAAGGGGCACCACAATCCCTGATTTCAAATTATACAAAGCTACTGTGATAAAAACAGGATGGTACTGGGGGAAAAAAAGACCCAAGGATCAATGAAACAGAATAGAAGATGTAGAAACAACTCTAAATATACTCAGCCACCAAGTCTTTGACAAAGTAGCCAACACCTCTGGAGGAAAGGTAGTCTTTTTAATAAGTGGTCCTGGGAAAACTGCCTTTCTACATGCCAAAGATTAAAACTAGACCTATATCTTTCACCCTGCACCAAACTAAAAACAAATTAGATCAAGGAGCAAAATATTAAAAAAGAAACATTAAATCTGCTGGGAGATAGAAAAGGTTGAACTCTTGAAGACACTGGTATAGGCAGACTTTATGGAAAAAATCTAAGTTGTACAGGAACTATCACAAAGAATCAACAACTGGGATCTCATCTTTTAAAAAGCTTTTACACAGCAAGAAAAACCACCAACAGAGTGAAGAGACAATCATGGTGTGGGAAAAAATGTTTGACTGCTGTTCCTCAGAAAAAGGACTACTATCTAGAATATATATATTAAAAAAAAACCCTCAAAAAATCAGACACCCCCCAAATTTAAAGACCCAGTCTAAAAATGGGCATCTGAGATGATTACAGACTTCTGAGGAAGAAACACAAACAGTGAATAAATATATGAAAAAATGCTGAATGTTACTGTCATTCAAGAAATGCAAATTAAAACAACACTGAGATTTCACCTCATTCCAGAAAGAATGGCTGCCATCAAGAAATCAACCAATAAGAAATGCTGGCAAGGCTGTGAGGAAAAAGGACACTTCTCCACTGTTGGTGGGAGTGTAGACTGGTGCAACCACTGTGGAAATCAGTGTGGTGATTTCTCAAAAAACTAGGACTGGTGGTTCCATTTGGTCCAGTCCTTCCCCGCCTGGGTATCTTCCCAAAAGAATTAAAAGCATCATGCCACAATGACATATGCACACCCATGTTCATAGCAGCACACTTTCTAATAGCCAAATCTTGGAGACGACCCAAGTGCCCATCAACTGGTGAATGGGTAAAAAAGATGTGGGGTTTTTATACAATGGAGTACTACTCTGCTGTAAAGAAGGATAAGCTGGAGACATTTCTGGGTAAATAGATGCACCTTGACGCCACAGTCTTAAGTGAAATAAGTCAGACACACTTGCATAATTATCATGTTGTTTCTTTGGTGTGAGAAACTGAAAGCACGAATAAAGACCAAAATTATGTATAATAGATTTCGGGATATAGGAAGAGAATGTGCAAATGAGAAGGGAAATAAGGTAAGGAGAGAGGGAAAGGAATGAAGGGATAAGAAAAGAGAGAACAGAAAGAAAAAATGGAAATAAAGTGTTTGTACATACGGGGAAATGGGGTTAAAGGGAGGAAAAGGGAATGGGGAAAAAAGAAGAAGCAAGAGATATCATGCACCAGTACAAATTCCCTATGATTTATGTTATCAATACATGTACCTAAAATGTATCAATAAAATAAATAAATATAAAAAAGAAATCAAGCAGTAATAAACCCTGGAGAGGCTGTAGGGAAAAAGGAACGCTTCTCCACTGTTACAGGGAATATAAATTGGTACAACCAATATGGAAATCAGTATAGAAATTACTCAAAAAAACTAAAACTAGAGGTTCCTTTTTTTTTTTTTTTCTGGTACCGGGAGTCGAACTCACGACCTTGTGCTTGCCAGGCAGGCGCTGTGCCGCTGAGCTAAATCCCCAGCCTTTAGAGGCTCCATTTTATCCAGCTATTCAAATGCTTTCTTGGTATCTTCCTGAAAGAGTCAAAAGCAACATACCACAAGGATATATACACACACATGTTCATAGCAGCACAATTTGTAATAGCTAAAACTTGGAAACAGCCTAGATGCCCATCAACGGATGAATGGCTAAAGAAAGTATGGGTTTTCTATATGATGGTGTTCTGCTCTGCCATAATGAAGGATGAAGTAGAGACATTTTTAGGCAAATAGATGCACCTTGAGACCACACGTTTAAGTGAATTAAATCAAGCACATATGTTTAAATATCACGGTTTTTTTCTCTTTTTGAGACACTGGAAGCATAAACAAGGACCCAGATGGATGATAGATATTGGGAATTAGGAAGAAAATGTTTAAACAGGAAGGAGAAGGGAGGGGGAGAGGGAAGGAAAGGAAGGGAAAAGGAGGAAAAGAGAATAGAAGCAAACCATGGAAACAAAGCTTTGTAAATAGGGAGGGAAAGAAGGATTGAAGGGAGTGGGGGAAGAAGAATCAAGATATATCATGTACAGGTACAAATGCTCTATGATGAATGTGATCATTATGTATATCAAAAGTGTACCAGTTGGGCCAGGGTGTAGCTCAGCCGCACGTTGCCTGCCTGGCAAGCACAAGGTCCCAAAGTTAATACCAGGTATCCAAAAAAAAAAAGTGTATCAAGAAAATTAATTTTAAAAATCAAATAAAATTAGCTTTTTCCCCTGGTGGTGGTGGGGGACTTTGGTATTCTGTTTAAGGCAATGCAGATAAAAACCTCTTTTTAGCATTTAAGAGAAAAAAAAAGTCTTTAAAATTTGCAAGTAAAGCCGGGCTTCTACATCAGCTACCTACTACAAACTACCCAATATTAATCAACATTTACAATGATTAACAACATTTTAATGGACTCTTTCATAAATCTTTGAAAACTGCTATTCACCAAAAAACAGATGAATTCCTGGAGATAAGGTGTTGCATCATGTCCACTCTGTACAAACGTGAAGTCATATTGCCCTCCAGAAAGATTGTATCAATGCGTGCTTCCAGAACATTGCCCTTGTGATCTCAGGGCTGAGGAGTGACTTTAACTTTACAGATGTATTTACCAAATACACATTGTTGGCTTACCAGGTGCCTTTTGGCCTCTCATGGGACCTTCCTCCAGAATCCACACCCACATCCAATCTTGGATACACCTCCTGAACCTAAATATTGTCCAGTTCCTGACACCTGCCTCAGCTGCTGCCCAACAAACGAATACAGGAATCCTCTGCACTTGTGAAAGACTTCCCAACCCCGCCTCCAGAAAAGCAGTCCCTGCTAACCAGCAGTCCCTGAGTCCCCTGTACTCGTTCCTCTGCCTCTGTGGCCAGAGCAGCTATGGCCTGGAGTTTCCGCGGGAGACTGCAGCTCGGGGGACTGCTCCTCTCACTCCTTGGTTGGGTCTGCTCCTTTGTTGTCACCGTCCTGCCCCAGTGGAAGACTCTCAATGCAGAAATGAATGAAATGGATACCTGGACCATGGGGCTCTGGGAGACCTGTGTGAATCGAGAGGAAGTCGGCACCGTGTGCAAGGCCTTCAACTCCTTCTTGTCTCTGCCCTGGGAGCTCCAGGTTGCACGTATGTTCATGATCACGTCCCAAGGCCTGGGGCTATTGGGGCTTCTGCTGTCTGGCTTTGGGTCTGAATGTTGCCAGTTTCACAGGACCACAAAGGTACTCAAGGAACGCCTTTGCCTCCTGGGAGGGATTTTGGAGGCCTTGGCCTCAGCCACTACCCTCTTTCCAGTCTCCTGGATGGCCCATGACATAGTCCGAGACTTCTGGGATGACAGAATCCCTGAGACTGTACCACGGTGGGAGTTTGGAGATGCCCTCTTCCTGGGCTGGTTTGCTGGTCTTTTCCTGGCTGTTGGTGGACTACTGCTCACCTTTTCTGCCTGCGTGGGAAAAGAAAACGTGTCTTCCCCCTGGATGGCTGATTCCACAGCCCCACCATCCTGGACTCCAGTGGAGCAATTAGATTGTCCTTCCACCTCATGCGAAGACCTGTAAACCTGGACATCTAGGGCTGGTTCTGCCACGAAATCTCTGCAATTAAAAGAATGCCGGTAGAATTTTCTGTCTCCCCTATCATTTATCACTTTCTGGGCTTGTTGTTGTAATTTAAATGAAGATGTATTTCATTGTTCTGAAAAGATTTAGACATCAACAAATGTATTGTGTGTCGTTATATTGTGTCATGTTTATTCTCTTACTGCATGACAAATTACACCAAAATTTAGCACTTTGAAACAACAAACCTACGTTATTTCACAGCGATTTTTGAGGGTTAGGAATGCTTAGTTGAGCATTTCCAGTTAAAGTTTTCTCATGGAATTCTTCCCAGGCTGCAATTAGGGCTACAGTCATTTCGTTGTAGCTCAACGGGGCCTGGAGAATCTGCTTCCTAGTTTATTCACATTACCAATAGGAAACCTTCACTTACTCATTGGTGGTTGCTGGAAGTCTTCAGTTCCTTATCACGGGGCCTTTTCCACAGGCCCATGGAGATAGACTGAGTCCATAGTCAGCATAGTCTCATGGTTAGCACGCTGACTTCTTCCACAATTAATGTCCACACTCCTGCCTCAGGCTCCCAGAGGGCTGGGATTACAATCATGCACACCATGCTGACTTCTTTCAAGGGGAATCACTGCCATGATTCACCCTGGTGAATTCTTCCTCTGCTGCTGTTCCTCCCCCTCTCCCTCCTCTTTCTTCTTCTGCCTTTGAGGTATAAGGATATAAAGATGAGAAGGAGGGAAAAAGGGAAGAAGGAAGGGAGAGAAGAAGAAAGGGGGGAGGGAGGGAATTAGGAAGGGAGGGAGGAAGGAAGGATCACTTTCTGTTTGCATCATTTTGGGGACAATGGTCACTGTCCTATCTCTCAAGAATTTGATTATCTTGGTGAGAAGGTGACCTTCACTTCAGAATGAAAAGTCAGGACGCAGTGTATAACAAACGTGTTTGTTTGTTTTGAGACAGGGCCTCACATTGTCATTCAGTGTGGCCTTGAACTTGCTGTGTAGCCCATATTGGCCTCAAATTTGCAGGGATCCTTCTGATTGGCCTCCCATGTCCTGGGATTATAGGCATGCAGCACCACGTCCAAATATGTTTATCTCATTTGAGATTTTATTTATATACAAATGACTTTCCAATTCATAGTATTCATTATATCTTTGATCTTGGTACCATACTTAAGAAAAACATTTGACAAAGTTGCATCCATCAGAGAAAATGTAGTGGGAAGAGACACTGTGTGTGTAGCTGGAAGAGCTGATGAAGGTGCCTAGGCAAAAGAAAACGCAGAACTGTCCAGAATAGCACCTCAGGATAGAGATCTTCCTCAGCCTCAGAAGTGATTTGAAAAGGACCCTCTAGCCAGGTTTGGTGGTACACACCTATAATCCCAGCCCTCTGGGAGGCTGAAGCATGATTATAGTAAGTTTGAGCCTAGCCAGGGCAACTTGGACATTTAGCAAGATGCTGCCTCAAAATTTAAAAAAAAAAAAAAATGAAAAAGAGCTGAGGAGGCCGGTTGTGGTGGCGCACGCCTGTAATCCCAGCACTCATGAAGCAGAGGCAGGAGGATCCTGTGAGTCTGAGGCCAACCTGGGCTACAAAGTGACTTCAAGGCCAGCCTGAACTACAGAGTGAGACCCTGTCTCAAAACAAACAAAATCAACAACAACAACAAATAAAATAAAAGAGCTGGAAGTGTAGCTCAGTGTGAAGGCCCCGGGTTTAATCTTTTAATCCCCAAAATTGGAAGCAAAAGATAAAAAGGAACCTCTGAACTGACCTTTGCTGTTTTATAGATTCTCAGTATCCCAAAGGGAAGACCTGTTCTTGGTACTGCTGTATTATGAGGCTGTGTGTGATCTGCGGTCTTCTCACCGAAGGTAACGGTCAGAGTGTTAAAGTGATCAACCCTTGTAATTTGCCCAGGCCCACAGTCACACTGCATTTCTCCCAGAACTGGGGAGATGTCTCCCTCCCCAGACTGGCACTGTGCTTTACCAGCGCATCTCTAAAACATCACTGACTTCTCATGTCTTGATAAAACAGCCCCGGGATCACGAAATAGCCACCACTCACACAAAAACACACATCAGCACAAAAAGAAACAAATCTGTCAAAATAGCCCAGGTCAGCACCCTCCTTAGAAAAGTACCATTTTCTGCTTAGGTACAACTTTGTTTTCTGGAACTTCCCTGGGATTCATAGTTTCTCCAGCAAATTCTTTTTCCTTTTATGTATGTCCACTGGCATATATCCACTTGATACAAACAATCCTGAGTGCTCCTAGGGAAATACATCTCTGAGTACAAGGGAGCAGTCTGCAGCAAGACAAAACCATTATTCTCCACCTGCTCACTTAATCTCATTTAACAAACATTTACTGAGCACTTACTATGTGCCGGACTCTGTGCTGGGAACCAAGGATGAAATGGGGAATAAGACCAAACTTTACCCTGTCCCTCATTAAGACAAACAATGGAGGCAGATCTCAATGTAAAATCACTCAAATAAGTATAGATTGTAGCTACAACAAACTTTACAGACTTGGGAAGTTACACGTTCTATAAGATCACACAGTAGGAGGACTTTGACCCAGGCAAGGAGTGCTTGGTGGACAACCTACGGAAGTGTAACTGCTAAAAGGTACAGGGCAGAGAGCAGTTCTAGAACTGAAGAGGGGAGACAATTATGAGCAGGATGAAGGCAGATGCTACAGCGCCCTAAGGGCCATGCTAAGGAATATTGCCGTCTCTATTGTCTAATGAATTGGCGAAGTGCAGCTCTGCTAGTGGCTCTGGGCTTTGAGTGCCAACTCAGTCTGCTACAGCTCTGGGTCCTGATGCCACTGGTCAAAACCATTTAATGCCAGACAGCCTTCGTCCACCCTGCCAGCTCTGTGTGGAGCCTTGTCACTGGAGCAAGGCTTTATTTTAAGAGGGTCTTGCTGCAGCATGGATGGAGGGGGCGCTACAGGGGAGGGAAATCTCTTAGACCAGTGATGGCAAACGCTTTAGAGCTGTCAGTGATAACAAACAGCCAGCTGTGGCACACATGCCATAGGTCTGCCAGCTCTGTCCTAGACCAACCTGAGCAGTGCGAGAGGAGTGCTGCTTGTTATAGCAGCTGCAATTTGTGATTGCTTCTAATTTGAGCCTGCTGATTGGTCCAATCTGGTCTAAACCCAAGCCTGCTGATCCAGCCTAGTAAGGGGGACAAATTCAATTCTGCTGCTTAGTTCAAATTCGAGCCCACTGCAGTCAAGAAAGACACCTCCCTGGGTGGGTGTGCAGGGTTACCAGGACAGCAGCAGCTGTCCAGCGGCTGTTCACAGCTGTTTGATTGATAGACGTTGTATCTGCAAAAATGGCCAGGCTAAAACCAGGGAATCTTCAGGAGGGTTAGCTGTGTTAGTCACAGCTTATTGGGGTTTGCAGAGATTGGAGATCTTAATCATTATTGCAGATCCCTAAATGATCTCTGTAACCATAGGAGTGGTTTCCCCACAGATTCTTCAGACAGCTGACAGTCATCTTTGCAGTGGGAGGAGTAGGAGAGGGAGGCTGTGCCTGATGGCTGAGCTGCACCTCCTGTCAGAGAGACCCAGAGGTCAGTGCTACCAGAAGGGTAGCTGGGGCAAGTTGTTCAGTTCATCCTTGGTGCGGGAGGGGAGGGAGCAGTGAAGGAAGAGAAGGAGAGGAGAGGACAGCTATCAGCCAACCCGTAGCCCGCTCCGGTCAGCAAAGGGGAAACGGGAGAGTCAAGAGCCTCTTCTCCATAGGAAGCCACGCAGGGGGCCTGGGATTGGGGACTCACTTCCAGCTGACGGGGCAGTTACTTACTCCTCCTTTACTAAAAGCTTGTTCCTGTGCAGCTTCCCCATTGTACAACTGGGTATGGCTTAAGGGCTTTTAAATCGCTTTCACATAGCTTACTGAACATACCTGGAAAGGAGTTTTTCTGTCCAAAGAGAATTAGAGTATTTGTTTCGCTAATGAAGAAATTGAGATTTGGGGGATTCAGGCAACGTGTCCACGGCTGTAATGAACTGAGTCAGGCCCTGGACACAGGATTCTGATGCCATAGCCATCTTTCTTCCCCTCACCCCTTCTCTTCACCAGGTGGGCTGCCTAGAAAATCCACCAGGCCAAAGGAAAAGTAGCGCTGATGCGGAAGGAAGAACAGAAACGTAAAAAGAAAAGCCTCCTTTGTGCTGATGTTTAGGTCCAAGCAGGGATTTCATTGCCAGGTGGCCCACCTGCTCCTGCTGGTGACTTACATCCCTCATCCTAATCCCGCATTTGCAGGTGCTGATGACGTTCATCATCGGTATCTGATTACAGCTTTCTTTGCAAAGAAACGGCCACAAGCTAAAGATTCACTAAGAAAATATTCATCTTCCTAATACTTCTTCTACAGGACAAAGGCCTTTCTTTTTTCTTCAGTGGGCACATGGCAAGGACTGTTAATTCACAATAACCAACAGCAGGGAGGGAATGTGATTCACATTCTAGCGAGAATCCACTCAAAGTCTGAGGAAGGTGATACAATTCACCTAAAAATACTTTGAAGGAGAAAATAATGGGGAAAAAATAGAACTAATTGAATCTTTAACAAGCCTTTTCTCATATAGATTTGTAGCAAATTATTTTAACATTTCTTTACTGTGATTACCCATGGGAAGACGTGTAGTCATATGCATGAGAAGATAAAGGGACACAAATCAATCAGCATTCCAGGTCAGAAGCTTTTATTATGTGCAAAGAATTGTAATAACTTAGGGACTTGCCAAGTTTGTTGTATCTCAACACTATCCACTAGACTGTCTTTCGATCTGAAAATAGCACCATTAGTAGTGAAGGAATTCCAAGAAGTCCCTATTAAAATACTTGTCTGATATTCTTCTGAGCCTATGGATCAGGTCCAGGGAAAACTCCCTGAGAACCTGATGTGAGATAGATTCATGTGGGATGGGAGAAAAGTAAAAAATGGTTTTGTAGCTGGGTGTGGTGGCACAGGCCTATAATCCCAGCATTTGGGAGGCTGAGGCAGGAAGGTCATTGTGAGCTTGAGTCCAGCCTGGGCTACAAAGTGAGTTCAAGACAAGCCTGAACTGCAGCGTGAGACC